TCTCTTCCAGCCCTGTCCATCCCATCTCGTCCACTCGCCCGCCCGCGAATCCGCCTTGCATTTTTATGAGACGAAGAGGTGATCCTGCACAAAAGGTGCGACATGGCCTGTCGTTCTTAGCGGTCATCTAGAATGTCTTGCGTTGAATGCGGTTCCCGGGAAACCTGTATGTGTGAAACGAGGATACCATGTGTATAAAATGAGAACTCAAGGTTGGAGTTATTTAATTTTGTGGAGGAATTTTTATTACGTTAATATGATTTCTGTACAGAAATTGAAAAACAAATATTCTAATAAATAAATGTTTAATCTGGAGTTCTTTGATTTATTTTCGTGTAGTGTTCTGGCTACAAAATTAATTTGCTCTCTAGAGATTTTGAAGTATGATAATTATAAAGATTTTGAACTGGACTGAAATAACTTTCTGCGGAAGAATCAATACAACCTTCACAAAAGACGGAGGTCGGTGTTGTAGGTAAAATTTTTCTGAAACTCATCATATATATTTAAGAAGTCTGCAATAATAACTAAGTATCTGAAACGACCTGTGTTGTTGTGTATCTCGGATTCATACGTGATATGTTATTGAAACACTGTAAGTACATCACCTCAAAGCGAGATTCCTGAAACTTTTTACATTCTCCATCTGACCTCCACTTCATTATTCTTCTTTCAATCTATGATTTGGTGCGGACCCTTTGCTTTCAGAAATCTAGCTTTCAGAATCTATTTGGGCACTTCGGTCTCTTTGTAGTCTTTTGTGTGTAGAATTATCGATAGATTTTGTCCTTTTCGTTGGGGACTGTAATATAATTAATACATAAACAATGATATTTTGTTATTATTATTTTCTTAAACGAACATTCATGTTTGTAAAGTCATTTTAAGACGAAATTAAATTTATTTTCTAATATTGTTCAAAAAACACTAAAAATGGTAATCGCAACTCACGCCCAACTAAAGTAGATCACTATGATGTTAGGTAAATTTCACGAAGAAAACCGATTCGGCTGATTAATGACAAGAAACGATCATCCTTCAAAAGGTACCAAATACATGATCTCACCAATACATTTGATTCCTTTCTCAACAGAATATAATGATACGATGTTTTTTATATTGTTGATTCTTACCCGAAATAAACACAGATCATGGGACTGCTTAGTGCTCAGTTTTTTCTCGTTTTCCACTTGAGATTTAATAAGAGTAATAATTGAAAATATTATTATTAATACAATTCAATTACAGTGATTTAATCATAAAAAGACACATTTAAGAATTTTTTTGTAACTTTTGAAATACATTGCTTTTCACGTAAAGCGAATCTACTTTTGAAATCAGTTCGACGAAAAAAACGTTTAGGGCAGAGGAAAAAATCGATTCACGAATTTACCCTCCGCACCCAAAGTTAATCTTTTACGGCCTCCCCTCTGTGGATTACGGTCGCTTAAAAAGGTCGTTGACGTGCACGCACTGCGTAAATAATCAAATATATTAATGCCTTTGGTGCACACAGCACCCTACAAACGTATAAAAGTATTCCATGACATGTCATTTTTATAGATATCACTACCTATAAATTAATTGCGGCGCGTAAATTAATAAACTCACAAAACTAATGAATTCATTTATTTCCTATAATTTACAATGCAAAAAACGGAAGAGTCGTTTTTACAAAACTGCCATTATACATAATTAGAGCATGACCGTGATTGCAAAAATAATCCGCGGTGTGTTTTTGTTGACAACGCATGACAAGCAAGAATAATGTATATACGAAATGGACATTACATTATTGTAAATGTTGGATTTCCTCTGGAATGCACAACGTTGCACTTCAGTTACTTACGTATACATTCATTATATAACAATCTCGGTGCAATGAAACCAAGCTAGAGAGATTTTTCTTAAACCAGAGACACTTATGATTGCTTTATGGCGAAAAGGTCTATGGATAAAACGCAACTGTTTTTCCTATCATCATCGTCATATCAGTTTTCAAGATTTTTATCACTAATCTTCAGACAATATAATACTTTTAAAATATATCATGTATATAATTTAGTTATGATTAATCCAACTGTTTATAAAACGTGCAACTGGAAAGGATATACTCGAAAATGAACGTGTTTATCAGCAATGCATTTTCATTTGTAAATGCTCATTAAGGGGAAACATTTCCCTAACAAAATCTGAAGCTGTGATTTGAAAAAGGTAGTTGTATAAAGGAACTCACGAGAGGTTTTTTTAACTTCTACTCTTACATCAATGATTAATCAAATCAAAGATGAAAGAAAAAACAATAATCTTCTAAGATGTTGAATACTTTATTTTTCTTTTAGGTTCATTAAGAAATGTAGATTCTTCTTAGGTATTTAAAAAAGCTGTTTTACGCAATTGATAAACAACAAGAAGGATTTGTATTGGAACAATTTAAATTAAAAGTACGTCTAAAATAGTGTCAATAAAATGTACGAAGAAATGTGTATTTTTTACATATGTTATAAAGTGCGTTTCTTTTAATTAAAAATAGGTTAATAATTAAGTAAGTAAAGAAACAAATATATAGGTGGATATGTACTGATAAAACGTAACTGTGATAATTTCTTAGCATGGAATCTTCAATGACAATTTTTTGAAGTCAATGTCGTAATAATCTGTCACGTCATATCAGTACGAGAAAATAAACACCCACAATTTTAATTTTTTTGCAATGATTTTCATTTTAACAGATAATTTGTTTGTGAAAAAACAGTGAGATTTGAGAAGTTATTACATCCATTATTACATGTGAGAACAATCATTACATTTTCATTTATTCAATTTTTAAGAAATAATACACCTAATATTTTGTATGACACATTCAGCCTTTATTTTCATTTTATAAATTACACAAGCAATTTGATGCCTAATAAGTAAATTTTGACTGGCATTTACTTCTTTATTCATGGTATAATCCCCTTCCTCATTTTATCAGATGAAATAACTTTTTTGTGCCCATTTTGTTTTCAAAATGGATAGAAAATAGATTTTAGCATTCGGAATTTGCACATTTAATATATTTTTGGTCTGTACTTAACGTTTATTAGTAGGCATTTTGTTGAAGGAATAAAATGAAAAAGGATGTAATTTCTATCCGCCAACGTTTCATTGAAGGAGAAAAGCATCATCAGTTCATATCATTCATATCAGTTGTTGTAAACCAAGTAAAAGCTTTTTTGTTTCTGTGTATTTGTTTACTATGACATCTTTTGGACTGTATGTATTTGGTAATGGGATGTCCTTGTATTCTGACAACAAAGAAGGAAATGTTAAGGCTTACGCTACGCACGGGGAAAATAGATTCACTTCTCTGGAGTAAACCTACAAAACCGTTTGCAAGAACATGCTTATGGCTAGAATCATGTATTACGTTTTCAACATTCTTTCGCTGAGACACAAATTCGTAAATCAATATTGAATACTATCACAGTACACTTGAATTCTGCTACACTAGTCAATCAGTGGAATATATTCTATTTTAGACAGTTGTATAATTCCACAATAAGGTTTCGGCAAAAACCTCTGTTTTTTGAAATACTCCGAAGTTTGTATAAATTATTCTCTCAGTCTTCATTCAACATTACGCATTATACGGCACATGGCACCATCTATTAATACTGAATGACTTTTTGTGTCGACTTATGATTTTGGTTCACCACTCTTCAGTATAATATTGTCCCAGAACGATGTACAGAAAGTTTGTTATCCAAACATTTTCATCTTTACAAAATGTTTTGAGATGTCCATCTCGGCATTAATGGTCATAATTTCATTTTTGTTTTGGAATGCGTTTAAATTCATTTCTCTTTGTCTTAAATATTAGGTTTCAATATCAAAAGGTTTAATCACAACAGCTTGTTTTTGCGTACGACAACTTATTAATAATTGCGCAGAGAGATATTCATTTTGTAGAGGAGTCGCTCTAAAATTTTGTAGGCTTTGATATAATCTTCGGAGTTTTTAATACATGGCTTGATGACTCTGGTTTACAAACCTTTTTTTCTCTCCCACAAGAACTTTATATTCTGATCTTTATGTAGTAACTTTTACGCTGAATTAAAAAAATTAAAGACGTTTGTCTCTGTCACGAAAGGTTTTTTGTGACAGTTAATGAATTTTTTAGAATCATAGCGTTTACAGTACAGTAATTAAAAACGATCAACGTACCTAAAAGGAGTTTATTGATAATCTCGTGGTATATTTTGCATCAGGAACATTCCTTTTGAGACAAACAATATACTTGAGCTTCACTCTTCTCTTCCCCTTTTTCCGTCGTTGAAATATCCTGATGGAAACGCTCACCGTGTTCGTGACATGCAGCTCACAGATTTGGGGGAAAGAAAGTCAAGTGAGAGTGAAGTGAATTTTAAAAGGTTTATTGCAGCCAACATTTTCAGATCATTTCAGCAACTGCTATACTAGATCCTCTTTAGTTGTTAGATTTCATGTTGCCTAAAACGGGTTTCACCAAATTCTTGAATGCATGCGCATTGTTCTAACATTTCTTCTGAACTACTTCTTTAATATTCACATCACTAATTTTCAGGAATTTTACTTTCAAATTCAAAAAGGCCCTTCCCTTTTTGTTCACGATTTCCACAAAATTGATCTGACGTAGTCAAACGTAAATAAGAAGGAACGGATTTTTTTTTTCTATCGGCAACGGGAACATTCTTAACATTTCTTCACTTGGTATGAAAGATTTACGGGAATGCCACGTCCTATTTATGAAGTGGCTTTAACGATTACTACTGCCCCACTTACACAAATATAGCAAACTTAGTGTATTCAGTCTGTAAACCTAAAGCGGAGCGATAACTCTTAAGATATCCGCATATGTTTCAGATAAAATTTTCATTCTGAATCTGCTTTAAGATTACCTTGAACTCTTTATCGGTTTCTTTTTATATTAATTTTGTGGGCAAACTTAACTGATGAACATGTATACCCATTTTAAAGGAGGGTAGTTTTGAAGATCACATTTAACGGGGGGGGCGCCATTCCTCTGGCCTTCGAGTGTGTCCTAGTGTGTCTGTTACTGCTGAAATTTTGTTTCAGTACTCTGTACCATCTTTTTGGGAAACAATCCTTAAATGCCTCTTGACTATTTTGAAAACAATGTATTCTACCTTTACGAATTTAAATAGAAGTAGGGAATCAAATTTTGGAATACTAATGACCGTTAATTTATGCACAGATTAAGTCTCGATAATAAAATTAAGTGAAATATACCTAAGAAACTAGCAGATAAGTAGAAAAACGGTTGACCCACAATGGACATGTAGGGTCGTGAGAAAATTATAATAACGTCGACCTTTACAAAACCAGGATTTGTGGAAACTCTTATGTTTCCCATCAGTTCTGACAGGACTATTCCTCTCCCTCCAGTGATAATACACGAAATAAACACAGATTAATATGCCTCCTACACGTATTAAGTATATTTTTCATATAAATGTAGAATATAAAAATATGAATGACAAAAGTTGCAAAAATAGCCAATTTAACAAAAACAAGTTGATAATAGACTTGTATCTCGCAAACTCTTTGTGATACCAAAATTTTAATAGCAAAACGTGTGTTGATCAGTATAATTTTACGTTTTCTTCAGCGAAACCATCGTTTTGATGAAATTTGTATTCAACGTTATACGGACGAATCTCAATTCTTGGGCATATTCTGATTACTTATATTGGAGACATGGCCCAAAGTGCGTCCCATTATCCGAAAAAGTGTTCATTCGGTGGGCCATGAAATCTTCCTAGAAGATTCCTTAAAGATTCAGCTGCTGGTGTATGTAATGTTTTTAGTTGTGTGGCTTCCGGGTATCCTGAATAATATTGCACAATTAATGAGAATAATTTTGAATCATATGAAAGGAATCCGTTTCTACTGTCGGCCATTTTCTCTTCAGAAGTTTTGAAAATACTAGCGACTATCTCACTATTGTGGTATAACTGTGTAATATATTGTGGGCATCATTTGATCAGATTTTCAATGCCGAGTGATATTCCTGACCACCATATTGCAGTTCTTACCTTGATCGGCACTTGGAAATTCCTTGACAACCTTCGTGGCGATTTTCCAACATGACCTCTTAAGTGTAATGAAATTACTCTTCAATCATTCATGAGTAGGCTTTCCTCTCTGTCTTTGTTGACTTAAGCTTGCCAATCGTTTCACAAATCAAGCACAAACTCTTTTTCTATTGATCATCCTTATTGTCTTTGTTCACATAGTTGCTTGCAGATTAGTCCGTTATTTTATGCCTTGATTACGTTCCAAATATTCTGGTATGTATTTGGTAATTGATTCGTTACCATTTGTGCTAATGCGATGGGTTGAATCTTACCATCATCTTGTTTTTGTTTCAGCGACTGCATACGAAGTCCGCTGAGATGATCGTTTCTTTTCTTTAGTCAAAACTCTTCAAGTTTGGGCATCATGCTAGTTCTGTTATGTCTAGCATTAAATGTGACTATTGTGATAGTGAATAAAACATGTTTTGAATTCTTTACATTTTCTTGAGTACATGGGCTTTAGTTGATAGATTTGGGACAAATCAAGTTGCATAATTCACTGATTCAATTGCACTTCCAAATTCTGACTGTTTATTAGGTCTTATGTTTTTCGTGATTGCTTGGAGTCTTCCATTGTCGATATGAATTCCAACTTCATAAATTTTATGCCTGAATTCATACCTTGTGAATTCCGAATACGCGAAGAATTCAATATCAGTTATGCTTTCACACTTGTTCCAGAACCTGTTTGAGTCTACTCTTGTGCTTTTTGCCGTAGAATAAGGTGTCTTTATTAACTACAACTCTTTTCAAACCACCTCGTCTGATATAATTTCGGTGTATTATTTTTCCAAATTGGTGGGGGTTATATATGCATCTTCCAAACGAGGAAAAAATGTGAATATTCGTAATTCTACATCGTATTTACGAAGCCATAATCCAAGGTTAATGTTGAGTTTTCAAATATATTTGGGCTTGCCAAGGTAACTCGGCGTGTCTTGTTTTTTGTTCTGTAAAAACTATTTTAAAAGGATGGTGGAAAATTCTCTATGACGATTAGCCGGGGATATACACTTCAAGCACAAGTGCATTTTGGGTCTCTACTCTGGTATGCGCGTCGCGGTTCCAACAAATGGCTTAGGAATAACGAATGGTATAGGAATAACGAAGGTTCCGTCATGTCGAATGTATTAAAAAGTTTCCTCCCTTGTTAAAGATAGAACTCACATTCATAGATTTTTTGGGATACGCCGATTTTCCTGCTGGGTCGAGAACTACCGATAACATTTTTGTAAAGAGAATATGGTGGTAAAGCAAATTATTATGCACCAATCGATTCTTATAATATAAATAAATAAAAATTTAACCATTAATATTTTTATTTACATTTGATTTTTGTCACCACTCAAGCCATAAAGGTTTCAGACACACAAATTTCAGAACATATGTTTCGAAATGCGCTAAATTCCAATTTGTTCATTGGAGAAGATATTTTAGATTTATTATATGGTAGAAAACACTCACTTCGCTGAAACTATTTTTCAGTTGTCTAGAAATGTTATAGAATAAATCAAGAAACTGATCATTACGTCAGTAGAATTTTCTTACCGAGAGATTGGAGGACAAAACATTGTTTTCAGTGATGTAGTTAATATATCACTTATATTTAATGATCTTATTGTACCAATTTCGGGTCATATTGCGTTTCAGCCTTTCAGCTCTCTCAGCGACCGGCTCATCTCGACTCTTACGTTCCGCGACGCCAGCTCTCGGGACCTGTACCCCGTCCTCCTTTTCATACGTCCGATGACTGTTCTCGGGGAGGGATCCTCCTCCTCTCAGTTGTAGGAGTGGCCTGTAGGCCCGTGTGTGTCTGTCACTGGAGAAGTCGAACTGCGGAGGCCTACCCCGTAGGGACCACTCGGCTAAAGAAATCCGGTTTACGAAGGGTATCGGCCTCGCATAGGAAGGAAGTGGGTTTGGAGGGCGACAAGGTGGGGCAAGGTGGCTGGGATTGGACTACTGCGCTAAGCACAACATCCATGCGTGACAGAATTTCAACTCGCATCCTTAGTGAACCGCTTTCTTGTCCCAGCCGTCAAGAAATGGTAGGAAGGGAGTTGAAAGGTGATACATTATTTTTGCGAAAGTTCAACCTTGCCGCGACACACACGCCAACATCCATTGCCGAGGCGGGATGCGAAACCCACGACCCTTCGTGCGGAGGCCGTCAAGGTTGGTCAGGGCGGTCATTTCTTTTATTCGAAGAAATTTCGTCGTTTCGTCGATGTTATGAAACGCTTCGACGCTTCAAAGTTATGTATCTTGTAATGCTTAACAAATCCATTTTTAGTCACAGTCACTTTATAATTTCAATTTTCTAAATGTTTCTTTGTATGATACGAGATATCTATTTTTTAAAACATTGATTGAATATAAGAAAAGTTCTCGTAATTAAACAACTATTTACGAATAACAATTTTTTCCTTGTCTTGATTTTCGAATGAAGTAACCTCCTTGAATTGACACTGCCAATTTACTCTCTAAATGTCACTGGGATGTTAGGGAATAAAAAGTGAATTCTTACATCTTGTCTTTCAATGATGAAATGTATTTTTCAAAAACCTAGTTGTTTCTGAGACGACCTTAAATAAATAATTATAAAAAACAATGAATATTTCTAGAACATGGCTTTTGACAAAATAATCAAGACGCTTATGCATGCATTGTACTCTCTGTTTATTGTTCATGCTTGATCATAATTTCATTTACACTTGTCAGATTAATATAACGAGTATGAAAGTGTTCAAAATTTGTTGATTGTTTTCAGGATGAATAGTGTACATTGTATTCCTTGACTATTAATCGTCGTTGAATTAATGTTATAATTAGGCTGTAAATATTCTTTGAAAATATAACTTTATTTGAAATTTATCTTATTTTTCAGGTATGGCAGCAAACGCGGAAGCCATCTCAGTAGATCAATAAGAAAAAATTGTCACGATGCCAGAAGAAGAAATCCAATGATCGTAAGTTGTTTTCGAATCCCATTTTATATCTGAGTTTAATATCTCCTGGAAGAATCATGCACAATTACATTCATTATTAAAACTTCTGAAATGATTGCTCGCGTATTTTAACATTTCTATCAGCTTTTTTGTTTTATCTTCTCTGTCTTTCAAAATATCTTGTACTCGCAGTATTTTGTGAAGAAGAATGTGATTTTTATAAAGATTTCAAATTTTAATTAATCGAAATGCAAAAGAGTGCTATAACTGTTTTTAAAATGTTGTAAATAATACTTACCATTTAGTTTAAAATGTGAAAATTTATTTTTGAAAAAATATTTTAATCGCTAATGAACCTAAGATTGTTGGATTTCGGATTAAGATACATCGGCTTTTAAAATTCTATTTCTTCGAGGCTATTGTCTAATCTTGATTCTTCCGGAAAGATGAAGGAACATAGTTTGGTTTAAATAAATAAGAATCTAAATTCAGTTCATTGTTATGATATGACGTCTTTCTTCATCACTAATCGGGTGGACTATAATAATTCCTATACGACACAATCGTAATGAAAGGAGAGTTTTGAGTAAGTATTTTATCATATCTGGACATCAATCACTGGTATATTTCTATCTTAAATTTAATAAAAGATAAGGCTATATGAAGCTAGGCCATAGCTATTGTTTAAATTTTATTTCTTGAATTCTAAACAACTTAATTCACAATGCACTATATATGGTCAGTTTTTTACGTGACGGAGAAAGTTAAATGCACTCTTCCCTCCCCTACCAATGTTAATATCAAATATTTAGTTTTTTGTTTAAATGTTCATCATTTTAAAGTCATCACAAAGTTCACACAAACTCATCATAAAGTTCATCATCATCATCATCATCATCATCATTATCATTATTATTATTATTATTGTTATTATTATGTTAATAGGTATCACGTGGATAGAATGTTTCAGCTTGAATCAAAATAAAAGAGTGGGGTGGAGTGGGAAAATGTATACTCATACTTATACTTGGGGTAAATGTGTACTCATTTAAAAATATAGTCTCAGAATTTGATAGCTCGCGCTTCCTAGTGATTGTAAATTGTACCAACGGGAAGAAGAAACATTGGAAGGAAACAATATCTTGACTGCCGCCCCCCTCCACCCCAAACAAATCTTGAACAACTCATTTTTTTAAAATCACGCCCAGCGCGTGATTTACAATCTAGAATAATAGTCCTAAATGTTAAAACAAAAGTTCTAATTTTTAGTTAATGTAGACCTACTCGAATGCGACAAAATTAAAGTGTGCTGAAAATGGTACGCAATTTTCTCATTCCACCAAATAGAGGAAAAAATGGCATTAATGGTTTCTGTTGACACTCGCCATAAATTTCGCTAAAAGAAGATTATGTGATAGCATAATTCTTTTTCACATCTGAGAAACTTTACGATCATTTTTACAAATTGATGAGCGGATGTAACGTTCTTGGTATCGGTACATCGGTAAATATGAAGGTGCGATAGGGTCATCTTTGAATTCTTTTGCCACACGTAGTCTAATGACTTTACTGCACCTTTGTTTGTTTGTACTCTCTTTTCAAGTTCCTTGTACAATAGAAACTTTATTATGTATAGAGGACACAAAGCAAACTCTTTTGTTGGCTCTTAATTTTACTTATTTAACGTTCTCAAAAACACACTTCAATACCATTGATTAGTTAGTTTTGCTTTACTCCCACATTACAGCCGGTCACGCTGAACATGAGAAAAATTTACTCACTGTTTCTGGGAACATCATTTCTGAATAGGGACAAATGACACAACTGAAAAGGAATACAAGATTTTATCGAAGAGGCGAATTGCAAACCTACTTAATCACACTGTTTACGACTGGGTTCTCTAGGGTCATGAGTTTGGGCGAACTAATCAAAAAGGTTTACGGAGTGAGTAAAATATACACAAGGGTTAAAGTATGAAAGCTTCGACAGTAGGATACGACACTATGCTAGAATTCATGGCCTCTGCCTCTATCGCTCTTTCCCTGTCCATAGGGTTTATTTTGAGTGTAATAAGTACAAATAGACAATCATTTTTAAACAAAAATGTCCAAAATAGATTAATTCTTAACTTTTACTTAACCTATGGCAGCAAAGTCAATGGAATTGGCTGCCACGCAAATTAATAATATTCTTTTTCTAACAAATTGTTTCATTTCTTTCCAATCAGTATGATATCCAAATTCAGTAATACTCAAGATTTACGTGGGGAAACGTTTCGATACGTCCCGTATCTCATCATATACCTAAATTTGTTTACAAAATAAAAATATTATATCAGAATTTCACGAAAAAATATAGCCTACTTAAAATTCTCTATTGGCGTGTACAATTTTTAAAATACTTATGAGTGGTTTGAAAAGAGAAGGGTAAAAGTGACAGTTATATTATGAAAGAGATTAGTTTATATCTTTACTCTCGAAATAGTTTTTTCTACAAGGGACTTAGCTCAATTTATATACTTAACATTACAGTTTACATTCAAGGAAAGAAGCGTCTCCTCTGATGACTATTGTTGTTCCCGCTTTTGGGATCATTCAACATTTTACAAATACTTTGAGGCAAAGGAGAGGAGGGGTTGGACTGTTTTTTAATAATTGGGACGGAGGAGAATAATGGAGACTCCTACTACATTACCAAAATAAGTGATTCAGTTGAAGACATTTTGATAGAATCGACACGAAATTAATTATTTTCTTTCCTTTATACACCATTTAATTATATGTCATGCTACACATATTTATCTTTTGTAGTTCTGACACTCGTAAGAGTTTGTGCTGTGTATGTACACTTCAGGGGGTAGAAGATTTTGTTAAGAAATTGTACAAAGTGTTGAAGGGTGGTAAGAAAGGGCGGTTGTACACGCATTTGTTAAACGATCCCTATTGAAAATATCGAACTGTGGTTATTAATTGTTTGAAGGAATGATTTTGATTTACTCAATGACGAAGCCAGACCAGTGATTTAAAAACAAATAGGAAGTAATAGCGATAAGAATTAAACAATACAACATAAATTGTATTTAATCAACGTCAGTTTCTATTAAATGTATGTTAATGTATGTTAATACAATGGCTACGTTGTGAAAATTCTATATAATTTTCACTCCCTTTCAAGGAATCCCAAAGGACATGTACTTCTTTAGGTTTGACTAAAAAAACAACGTTGCTTGACTCCCTCTATTTAACTTAATTTTCTGTAGTCTGAGTAAAAATTAAATTTGTATAATACAACATTTTACTACAATTCATTCTATTTACGTCACCAGTTCATTCCAAGTTTTATGGAACTTTTCTCAGATTGTAGAGGTATGAATAATCATGATCAGGCAATACGTACAAACATTGTAAGAGAACGATGCATTTACAAGGCCAGAAGAATTCGATAACATTAATGAATGAACGAGAGTAACTGTGTTCTAGAGCAAAAACGTTTTTTTATGGATAGAAACTTTATAAGACGTACTTCAACCTGTTGTGTTTAAAAACACTGCGCAAACAGAGTAAATCATAACAAGAAATACGATGTAACTAACTTTATCTGTAAAGCGACGTGACATTTCAAGTTTCAAGTCGAACATTCTTACTGAATGTTCATAGTTCATATTCAAAGAATTTTATTTCGAGTAGAAGTGTTTACTGTGAAATTACATATATTGTATATAGGTAGATATATATTTCATTTATCTTATGATTATTCATCGTGTGCGCGATTGTTGAAACGTATTTGTGCGAACACATCAATTGTGTCTAACCTTCGGTGCCAACTGGGGGCCCAAGTCAACATTCACAAGCCAAGAGATACAAGGGATTGCAGGAAGTTAGAAAATATATTTTATTAAAAGTGTAGTACAGAAAACTTGATACAGATATGAAATATAATTTTTAATATCAGTATTTCCCGTGTATATTGTAATATTTTGTAAATAACTTCATTTATATTTATATTAATATACCAACTTTGTAGTAAATTTTCTGCAAAATCTTAAAACGTGTACTTGCATCCCTCTCCTTTTCAACCATTGACATAGTAATTTTGAATATATGATATTTTTCTATATGAAAATTTCACACATTCGCACATACTAATTGAGTAGATATTCAATCCAGCCTGATATTCAAAGTTGGTCATATTATTTTCTACAAATTAATGAAAAGAATAGCAGAGAATATGTGTACCCTGATAATAGCGAAAGGAAATGGGCATTTTCTGAAGATATTATGTAGATACAATTTCATGCATTATCTTAGATTTCTCTCATTTTTCAAGAGAGTATTCATTTATATATTTTGAGCAGCATATTTTAAATTATATATTTATCTGCCTCTGTGAATGACAGACTATTACAATCCTCATAAACGTATAAGAAGTTACCTTTTGAAGAAGCATTGATTCAGACTAAACTGCGGCGAATTGTTTAGACATTATTCATAATATAAACCTATTTTTGTGCATAGGTAATCGTATATTGCGAATTGTGAGAGGTAGAAAGTTTAACTCATGAGTGTTGTATTGTAATGATTATTCTAAAACTTAGTAAAATTAGGGATCGTTATTTTGTCGTCTTGTGGTGTTAGATAAATATCAACAAATAAATAAAATTGCCACAGCGATATGATCATGTTTATATTAGTCCCTTGATCAGTTGGCTGATTAGCCACCATGTTACGAAACTGTTTATTCAAAGGATTATCGATAAGTGGATTTTGAGTTGTCGTTTATCGGAATGGCGTTTTGGATAGATTTAGTATTGATGAAAAGTTTCAAATATTTCCTGCTCACTTACCGTTATCGTCGGGCAAACATTTGTAATGTGTGTCAAGTTGTTTTTCAGTAGCAATTTATGGTTAGGCTGATCACACGTATATACCTAAAATTTTCGATAATAATTTTCATAAATTAAAAGTAACAATTTTTAAACTACAGAATTATGATATCAAATGTGTTTTTATTCAAATCTTCTA